TTAATAAAAAACATACAAACAAATTTTTTTTTTCTTAGGGAAAACTGAAAAATTATTTTTCTTGAAAAGTCCCAAAAAACGACATTTTGAAAAAGAGGTCTGTAAGTTGAGTCAATAATACTCACACAAAAAGTACTCCAAACTATGAGGAACTATTTATTTATGTTAATTTAATCAATTTTAGTTTGTCCTAAATCATTTTCCACCTATTTTTAGAACTTAGACCAAATGACAATTAAAATCAAAAGGCTCTTTGAACGTTCACTTTTCCCCTAATATCAAAGAAATGTACTAGGCAGAAAGCGACCTCTGTTGACCTAAGGCCTTTTTGTTTGAAAAAGGGGTGTCTCAGCTTACACGCTCAAAGTGTCTCAACTTACACAAAATGGAATGTTTCGGGAAAAAATTAAGAACTTTTGTTCTGACTGTCACATTAAGCTGATTCTTTTTTTAATTAGTTAACAGTTAATATACTAATGTTTTAAATCTCTTACCAAGTTAATTTAAGGACGTTATTAATTTTAAATGGAATTTTGAAAAAAGTAGACATAAATTTTTTTGGTGAAAAATGGTACACGACTCTCACTGCTTTAATGTGGCTAGAGCTTGGCTTATAATGTTTTCCCGAAAAGTTTTGTCACTAAAAAGGACTCAAAAAAAAATAAAAACAATTTTTTTAGTGGATAGGTTTTGAGAAAATTGAGTGTCTCAACTTACAGACCGTCTCAACCTACAGACCTCTCCCCTACCCGTTACTCGTAGAGTAAAAGGCTATATTGTATTCGTGCAAAAGTATGTAACAGGGAGAAGGAAGCGTTTCCGACCCTTTAAAGTATATATATTCTTGATCAGGGTCACTAGCCGAGTCGATATAGTCATGTCCGTCTGTCCGTCTGTCCGTCCGTATGAACGCTGAGATCTCGGAAACTACAAAAGCTAGAAGGTTGAGATTTTCCACACATATTCTTGGGCTACGCAGCTCAAGTTTATTTCAGCCGAGCGCCACGCCCCCTCTAACGCCCACAATCGCCCACTAACAATTTTAAAAGGTGTCTGGCGCCCACACCGTTAAAGATTTCCGAGAAGTATAAATGCAATTTTGTTGTGAATAATTATACCTATCGAAATGTAGAAGACATTTTTCAAATTGGACCATTCAATAAAAAGTTATACGCAATCAATAAAATGGTATATATCCATCTCCCTCGCACTCCCTTTAGCCGAGTGACGGGTATTAGATAGTCGGGACAACAACCCGACTATAGCATTCTCTCTTGTTTTACTCTTAAATTCCCGAAAGTGTGATGGATGGATTCCGCAGTACTCGCTTTTTATCTCTATTTAAAAATTAGTTTTTATACTCGTTACTCGTAGAGTAAAAGGTATATTGCATTCGTGCAAAAGTATGTAACAGCTAGAAGGAAGCATTTCCGACCCTATAAAGTATATATATTCTTGATCAGGGTCACTAGCCGAGTCGATATAGCCATGCCCGTCTGTCCGCTTTTATCTGTATCTCCCTCGCACTCCCTTTAGCTGAGTAACGGGTATCTGATAGTCAGGGCACCGACTATAGCGTTCTCTCTTGTTTTTTAAATATTCGTGTTAGACCGGTCACAAAAATAATTATTTTCGATTATAATCGATTACAAGAAAACCATGATTAATATAAATTGTTTAATCACACAAATACTTAGTGCACACTACTATCCTGTGAATTAATTCCAGAAAACTCCACTTACAACGCTTTAAAACTCGTATTTTTAGCAATTTAATAGTCTCAGCATTGCGTCGAATTTCTGGGGCATGAGAATACAACATACAACAGCTGATATAACAGCTGTAAGTTAGCAGAGGCGTCCCCTATTGAAATTCCAAAAACGTAACATTGAAAATTGGTCTTCTCTAAAAGTATTCTAGAAAACACTTTTTTAGTTTAACGACTTTAAAGAAAAGGGGTTTGGCCAAAAAAGTGGTAAAATTCCCCATAGTGCAGCGTCGCGCATACACCAACAATACCATTACCTATAGATTCAAGCAAAAACCACGAGCAAAAAAAATCGATGAAATATACCACGAAGGAAACCTTTGTTTTCCGGTAAGGTACGTCTTTCTGATGAAGAAAAGGACATCTCAGTAAAATTTTGAAAAGGAAGAAAAAGCGTCTAAAATTGTAATTTTTAGCTATTTTCAAAAAATTGTGAAAAATACAAGGACAAATATTTTGAAACTTTTTTTTGCAGTTATTATTAATTTTGATTGGGAACAACTTTGCATCAAAACGTTTTTTTTTCAAGACCCAGAAAAAAAGTTAAATATTTGACTTTCAAAAAAAAATGTATAATTTTCTAATTTTCCAAAGGGTGCTTAATAGGTTAAGAACATTTTTGTGTCATTTAAACGGAATTGAAGTGCTCTTTACATAGGTGCCAAAATGTTTATATTAAAAGTTCAAAATATAAGTACAGTTAACATTCAAATTTGTGAAAATACTTTTGATTAGGGTTGTATACTACCTGCAATAGATAGAAGACTTTTGTAAAAGATTAATTCCAATAGCTTAAAAACTGAGAGACTAGTATGCTTAAAAACGGACGGACAGACGGCCTAGTGATGCTGATCAAGAATATATATATTTTATATGGGTTCAGAAACGTCTCCTTCACTGCGTTGCAAACATCTGACTGAAATCATTTTTCCCTCTGCAAGGGAAAAATGTAGGGGAGTGTAGGGTAATTTGACGAGTAGGGTAATGTGACGAACTCGTCGAATCTCATATATGACGTCATGACAAAAATTCCAAATAAATGTAGTCGTCTCCCCTTATCGTGTCGACAATGTATTTACAGTAATATTAATAAGAAGTCCCGTAATTTGTTCGTGAGGTTATTTTCGCTAAAAATGTGGTGCGCAAACTAGCAAACCCATTCAATTTACTTGTGTTTCAGCAGTGCCAGAGCAAAGATGAGTGGAAAATAAAATCAGGCAAATATATGCACGTATACATGAGATCTTTATCAACAGTTTTTGGTACCTCGCGTTTTTTTCTTTTGCGCCGTTTGAGAGTGACACCGTTTTTGCTCCAAGTCTACCTTGTAGGGTATCGTGACGAACTTTTTGTAGGGTATTGTGACGAACTTTTTTTATTCAAGAATTTTAACTGTTATCGTTGATTTTTTAAAAAAAAAATATAATAATACCAGATAACATTTACTGCTGCAGTTTTATTGTTGTTTTTAATAGTGACGTCAGTTTAATTTAATTACAAAAAAAAATTTGCACTTTGACCATTTTTTTTTTGTAAGTTTGGGTATTATCTTATTACTTTTTTCTTTTCCGTATCGAAAATAACCTTTCCGTAAATAATATATAAAAAAATGTATTTTTTTGTTTGTAAAAAGGATGGTTTACACCAAACGCTGTGGGATTTGGCTACTTTGAAATTTCGAATCCAAATTTTTTTAGAAATATGCTCAGTAAATGTAAGCAACTTTCTGCTTTTACACTTTTAAAAAATATTGATTTTTGGAGAAGTTACATTAAAGAACAAATCGTTCGTCACATTACCCTACAACTTTTGAAAGTGCAAAAAAAGTAGGGTTCACGCCAAACGCTGTGGGATTTAGCTGCATTGGAATTTCGAATTTCGAATTTTACAGGGATATGCTCAGTAGATGTAAGCAACTTTCTGCGTTTACACTTTTGAAAAATATTGATTTTTACATAAGTTACATTCAAAAAACGAATCGTTCGTCACCTTACCCTACACTCCCCTAACATATTACAAACGTTTAACGTTCCTTTTTCTTTGGACAGTGATGGCTCTAAAAACATCGATGGTCAAAAAAACATAGATGTTTTGAAAAATTGGAAAAACATCGATGCATCGATGTTTCCATCGATTTTTCTGCACCTCTAAAATAAATATCTACCTATATATCGATATTTTGATTTTTTATCGGCAACCCTATTTATTTCTCTACGAGTAACGGGAAGATGAAATAATAATGAAAATAACCTTAAAATACGTTAATGTGCAAAGTCATTGACAACTCGTAGTCATTTATGCAACCAATTGTACCAAAATGTTTGTTGCTGGCAGGGTTCGGAAAATAACACACTCTGTAAATAACTTGTGTTATTAACATCAATGGTAATTTCATTATCATTCTTCAATGGCGCCCTGATTTAATTTCAATTTCTTTATGCTTTTATGTTTTGCACGAGCTTAAATCTGGGCATACTTGCCCTGTATTGGGTATTGTTTATTCGCCCTCGGCTTATTATTCCTTTGTAGCGGGTTTTTGGCTTATTTATTCTCAGATCTTTTTACGTCATGATTGAGGTATTAAATAATATTTTAATTTAAATTTACTGTTGCTTCTATGAAATAAAACAACGCGTGGGTATGAATCAACAGCAAATCATTTTGGTGACAAATGCGTAAAAACCTTAGAACTTCTCTAATTTTCTGTAGTCTAATTATTGCTTTTACGGTGAATTTAATTATCCAAATCATAAACCACTCATCCAACCTATTCAAAGCCCAAGACCAGACCCTCAACCACAATTAATTAGTAATAGCTCCTAATAGAGCCCGAAATAGCACTGCTAAAAATGTAAAGCCCCTGGAATGTTCATTCCAAATTAAGCCGCCAGACGAGCGGAAGGCGAGAATTGTGAGACTTAAGATCTGACAAAGTCGAGAGACCAAGTCTGAAGCTTTAGCCGCTTCTTCTGCGACTACGCGCTGAGTCTGGGCAGAGAAGCCAAGATCAAGATCCGCACCAAACGAAAGTGAGCATACGAAGAGCACGAGCGCTGCGCCGGCGTCAACGCAAGCTTTGACTCATCTGCCGACACAAGCAGCGCTGCGACTGCGGCTCCCAGTGATTCACTTGTTCGCATCTTCAGTGGCTTTTGATGCAGACGTCGACTGCGCAGCTTCTGCGACGCGATGTGGTTGGCTTTGCTGGGCACATATAAAACAAACGAATCATGGTTAAATATTCACAATCATATTCAAGTGGTTCGTTCGTGCGTTTGATTTCGAGTCCGAGAAGATTCGGCATTTTTTCAGTGTAAGAAACAGGCCCCGTGGCCCGCATCCGGGAAGGGTCTCGAGCTAAGTCTTTCGAGTACTTCGACTGTCCGAACAGCCGGCGGTCAAGTTAAAATTTGAAGGACATCTAGGGATACTTCCGCATTCATTGGCTGCCAGGCCTCCGAAGAGCTATGTACATTCTTAGAAGCTGCAATGCATCCAGGCCGCAGCCTATTTTGGTTGAAAATTAAATTTATTTGCGGTTGATTGATTGATGGATAGTTCCATTTATTCGGTTTCAGTTGTCGCTGCTTCGAGGTTGCCGAGTCCCTACCTCCGCCCGTCCGTCAATGTGTACAGCCATTTCGTTTTCGGATTTGGCTGCCACAGTGCATTGTGTTTAGCTTGGTGGAAATTTATTTGTTGGTGATGCGATCTGAACTTTGCTGTTTCTTGTTTTGTACTGTGTTTTGCTGAGTGGTTGCCAAATGCCCCAAGATAAAAATTTGCAGTTTAAATTTATGTGAAAAGCGCCCACGGAAATGCAGCAGAAACTGCAGTCAACAGACAACACAGCAACTTTAGAGCGACCCGCTTCATAAGCACTAGAAAAAAATCTTTATTTTCATGTACGTGCAATGTACAAAGGTAGATATGCATTTGCTATTAGCTGGGAGAGTTTTAAGATACAATTTAAATATCTGAGCTTTTAGAATCATTCACACAATCTTTTCAAATTGTTTATAAACGTTTACGAAACTAGTAAGGAAAAGAACAAATTAAAAAGCTATTTGTTGTGTGAATCTTTTCCACAGACAAGTTTTTCTCTTTTAGAATAACAGTTGTTTAAAGTTTTCGGATCCTTTTCTTTTATAAATTTTAACCTTTAAATTCAAAAGGGTTAATAGTCAGGGTCAAACAGTAACGGGTATAGAAAAAGTTTTACTAATGTTTTTGTGTTTCATTAAGTTTGTTGCTTAAGTCTTTTCTTTTTGTCTCCAATTCTGGTAAAAGTTCCAATAATACCCGTGAAAAGTATGTCAATGAAATTTTTTTGGTAACCGCGAGCTAAATATCAATATATGTATAATCTATAAATTTGTAGATCCCGAAGTAGAAAGTCGAAGCTAGCAAAAATTTCTAAATCCGAAAACAAAATTAATAGTCATTAAATTTTACCGAAGTCAGAAAATGTTTTATGCAAATTGTGTTTGGGTAAAAACCCGCAATTTCGTACATATGTATGTACATACTTATATTTAGATGTCGAATTTTTGTTTTTTCTTTGTATTGGAGTGACATTCCACTATTTTTAGCTTTGAGTCACTACCAACGCATCCCGCAAATTGCTCCAAGTTGTGGCGGTAGAATAACATGCAAATTTACCCTGCTCTTTTATGGTTGTCGAATTGTGATTCAAAAATAAATTCGCATTAAATTCGTTCTGAAACACTGGACAATTTTGGTTTAGGCAGCTGTCAACCATAGTTTGTGGACATGTTTTAAGCTCACAGAACTGATCTTACCTTTCATGATCGGGGGATATCACTCCTACTGGCTACTATAAAAGTAACTGTAGGCAGCTGAAACTTTTTCGTTGAAATTCCTTCTAAGTCACACCTGCTCCCATCTGCCAAATCGGCTAGTGCTATAGTGCTTGACTTCTCTCTAAAGGTAGGACTCCTGCCTTATCGTTTTTACATCTAAAGGGAGAACCAAATGGACTTGTAAAGCACTTGCACGATCCCGTTGTGAAATTATGTCATCTCGGTGTGTTTGCATTTGGACGATGACGAAATAGCGCTGACTCGGAGCCGCAGTCTCAGATATTACACGGTCATTAATAATTAATCATTAATATTTTTTTTCTTATTTCTCCCCAGTTTATTAGACCAGATCTAGAGAGTCGGATAGCCATGGCCAATTTACGGTTTCAGGAGCACCTTGCCCTTTGCCTTACACTAGTTGTGCTGGCTTTGGTTAGTGCCGACTACCAGGGCAACATGTTCCTAAACGGCCAATACCAAAACAGCATCAAGGATCACAAGGAAACACACCTTTCAGTAAACCCCTCGTCGAACGTGTTTCTTAGCCACGCCATCATTAGCAGGCAAGCGTCCCCATTCCAAGGACCTACCTATCTGCCACCCAAGCAATACCTGAAGTGCGATCCCGGCCAGCAATGCGTTCGCCTGGGTCAGTGCCTAAACGGATTTTTCACCAACAAGTTTCCAAGGATACAAGTAAGTGTGTGTTGGCAGTGTGTTACCTGAGCATATGAATAGTATTTAATTAGTAGAAGTTTCATTTAGTCATTTCTCTATTGCACAAAAGGAAATAAATTTGGGTCCCCCCCCAAACGAAGATTTAAATCGAAAAATTAAAAGCTCGTCAGTAGCGATAAGGCGCAAAATATTTCGGCCGTTGTTGTGTCTTCATTAACTTGCCTGATCTACATTTTCTGTATTACCCAAGCGTTCACTGTTGTCTGTATTATTAGGCTGTGTTGAGCTGTTTGGCACTGTTACCGTTATTTTCCGGTTTGTCATTACCGAGGTCCGACATATCAGCCCATATTCGGACTGACCAGTCAATAGCGATCGGGAATTTCGTAATCACAAAAAAATTTAATAAAAAGCAAAGTTCATGTTTAATTGCCTCTTCCAAGTTCGCTTTGGACCCAAAGTATATTTATTTGCCTATTTGTCAGATGGATATATGCGCCGATAAATAACACGGAATCACACAAAATGTAAATTCCTATTTTTGTGGTCAATCGGCTGCAAATTTATCTTATATCCCACGCCTAATGTTGCCACCAATCGGTTCAATAAAACTATTGAAACATAAAATCTAACTTTTTAAGGGGGATATACAGTAGCTCCATCGCATAAAAGATAAACTTGCAAAAAAAAAAACGTTCTAAAAAACTGAACAAAATGGGTATATTGTTATACCCTTGCTGAGGGTATTATAATGTTGAGACGTTTCCGACCCCATAAAGTATATATATTCTTGATCAGCATCACTAGACGAGTCAATCTAGTCGATGTCCGTCCGTCTGTCTCTTTCTACGCAAACTAGTCTCTTAGTTTTTGAGCTATCGGGATTAAACTTTCCCAAAAGTCATCTTTCTATTGCAGGTAGTATATATGTCGGAACCGACCGGATCGGACAACTATATCTTATAGCTCCCATATAAAGGATCGGAAAAAAAAACGTTAAAAAAATTCTAGCTTCGGTGTTTTTTGAAATATTACCTTCTACTTTTGGGGATGTTATTTTTTAAATATTTCTGAATTTTGAATTAATTATTTAAAAAAACGGACTACTATATCATATAGCTGCCATAGGAACGATCGGAAAATTAATGAGAAATATTAGAAAATTGAACATTTTTTCGATTTGTTAATTAATAGGAATGATCTGCAAGGGTATATAAGCTTCGGCTGGCCGAAGCTAGCTTCCTTTCTTGTTAATTGTATTTTTATAACCTTGCAGAGGGTATTATGATTTCAGTCAGGAGTTTGCAACGCAGTGAAGGAGACGTTTCCGACCCCATAAAGTATATATATTCTTGATCAGCATCACAAGACGAGTCGATCTAGCCATGTTCGTCTGTCCGTCTCTCCGTCTGTCCGTCTGTCTGTCTGTATGAACGCTGAGATCTCGGAAACTACAAAAGCTAGAAGGTTGAGATTTCCCACACATATTCTTGGGCTTCCTTGGCAGCGCAAGTTTATTTCAGCCGAGTGCCACGCCCCCTCTAACGGACACAATCGCCCACTAGCGATTTTAAAATGTGTCTGGCGCCCACACCTTTAAAGATTTCTGAGAAGTATAAATGCAATTTTGTTGTACATATTTATACCTATCGAAATGTAGAAGACATTTTTTAAATCGGACCATTCATTAAAAAGTTATACGCAATCAAAAAAATTGTATATATCCATCTCCCTCGCACTTCCTTTAGCCGAGTGACGGGTATTAAATAGTAAGGACACGAACCCGACTATAGCGTTCTCTCTTGTTTTTGTTTACTATATCACCTTGCTGTACCAAAAACAAAAACAAAAGAGAACGCTATAGTCGGGTGGGTGTCCCGACTATCTAATACCCGTCACTCAGCTGAAGGGAGTGCAAGGGAGATGGAAATATAAAATTTTGATTGCGCATAACTTTTTAATGAATGGTCCGATTTGAACAAAATTGTATTTATACTTCTCGGAAATCTTTAAAGGTGTGGGCGCCAGACACATTTTAATATCGGCTAGTGACCCTGATCAAGAATATATACTTTATGGGGTCATAAACGCTTTTTTCTAGCTGCTACATACTTTTGCACGATTACAATATACTCCTTTACTCTACGAGTAAGGGGTATACAAATTATAAGTTACACAGGTACACAGCCAACAATTTTCACTCACCATTTCTAATTTTCCATGATAATTGGGTGCTCCTGAGTAAAAGTCCCATACAAACTTATGTCCCATTACCTACAGGTTCCGCGGTATAGTTAAGAATACAAACAACCGATGTTTGCCGACACTTCGAATTATGTCGCCTATATTATTGGTCTAATGTTTATTATTATCAGGGCTGTGAACCACTCCGGAGCTGAACCACTCCGAACCGGAGTGGATCACTTTTTTTAGAAAACGAACCGAACCGTAAACCGGAGCCCCGAATTTTTTTATAATTGAACCGGAACCGAACCGGAACTTTTTTTTTGATATTTGGTTCGGTTCACGAAAAATTTATTTTGTGTGTTCGTGTTTTTTTATTCAACAGTGTGGGGGGTTTTCTGATCATATTAACATAGAGTTTATTTACTAAGGGAAATAAATAATTGGCTATGCAATGACTGCAACTCAAACAATCTAATAATATATAACTATCATCTTCCAAAACTTTTCGCAGTATGCCCACATTAAAATTACATGATTAAAGCAAAGAGTATACTCTTTGCCTTAACTGGTAAACACTTTATAAATCATAAATCTAGTAACTTTACTTATAACTCTTAATGTTATGGTACATATTTCAATGAAAATACATGGAAATAAATGTTGACCCTATTATTTCATTGAAAAAAAATTTTTTTGAACCCATACATTGTTCATTGTATGCTTTAAAGCGTTTTCATGAGGACATTTTATTGGATTTATTAAACGAATAAAACCGCTTTTTTGATTTTTTTATCTACTCCTAAATGTTGTCAAATTTTGAATAAGTCATAAGTCAAAAACGAATTTTTCTAAATTTTTTAAAAAAAAATATTTTTTTAATTTCTTGAAACAAGAAAATAAATTTCTTAAAACAAGAAATGGTTTTTTAGAAAGCCACCATTAAAACAAGAAGAAACATTTCTTAAAACAAGAAAGGCGATTCTTGTTTCAAAGGTGGGTTCTTTCTTGTTTCAAGAAATTAAATTTCTTAAATAAATTTTAAAGGTGGGTTCTTTCTTGTTTTAAGAAATATTTTTTCTTGTTTAACTTTTCTTGTCTAACTTACACCAAAATTTGGGGAATCTCAAGGGCTATACAAATAAAAGTTTGAAAGAAAATCGTTAGAACCATTTTTGACAAATTAAAAAAAAAATTTTAAAAGTTGTATTTAGACAAAATACGTTCAGAAGGCGTTTATAGTATTTCCAAATACCTTTACAACGAGGTATAATGCAAGCTTTAGTAGTTCAGAAGTTCCTTCTAAAATTTCGCTATTTTTAGCTGTTTTCCCGCCAAACTAGCGAGTTTTTCCAAAAGAAATACAACTAAAACATTGTGTGGGGGCATTTATCCCCACCGGCCCCAACAGCTCCAAAATTCGAAATTTTCACTTTTTTACTTTGTCCGCTCTCTCTCCCCAGCCAATTGATTTTCTTAAAGTCTTGGTATGCAATCCTGTTAGTTTTTGCAATACCTTTCGATTGGTGTATCATTATGATCGGACCATTACAGCAGATTTTCATTTCTTCGTGTATATATAGTAGTCGCCTTCGCACACTCTCCTGGTGCGCTTCGTCACTACATTGACTGCCGTCGATAGTGATACTAGAATGGAGTCCAAAAAATCAAAAACAAAACAAGAGAGAACGCTATAGTCGGGTGAGTGTCCCGACTATCTAATTCCCGTCACTCAGCTAAAGGGAGTGCGAGGGAGATGGATATATAAAATTTTGATTGGGCATAACTTTTTATTGAATGCTCGGATTTGAAAAAGTCTTCTACATTTCGATAGGTAACTTGATAAACAAACTTGCGCTGCGTAGGAAGCCAAAGAATATGTGGAGGTAATCCCAACTTTCTAGCTTTTGTAGTTTCCGAGATCTCAGCGTTCATACAGACGGACAGACAGAAAGACAGACGGACGGACGGACATGGGTACATCGACTCGGCTAGTGACCCTGATCAAGAATATATATACTTTATGGGGTCTGAAACGCTTTCTTCTAGCTGTTACATACTTTTGCACGAATACAATATACCGTTTTACTCTACGAGTAACGGGTATAAATATTAGAGGGTGTATTTCTGTGTGTGATCAATTATATAATTTATATGGGAATAATTAGTTATGCGATTGAAAGATAAGCAACCACAAGACAATTCATAAGCTGAAATTGTCGCGAATCTTCCTCTGTGGTTCTGCCTGCCTATGAGTTTATCAACCTGTCCGTCAAAGTCACATGTATGTATGTATGTAAACTAAAACTATGCGAACTATAGATGTTCCGGGACCGTGGAAACGGATATGTCGAGCTCATTCAGGCGCTTCAGCACATATAATGACACGTCTGGGCTCTGTCAGAACTGAATCTGATTCAGAGATATTTAAACCTGATTTCAGTACTTTCCAAAACCGAGAGAGCAGGTCTTCTGTGACTCAAACGCGAAACGATTGCTTCATAAATATATCCGTGCTATTAATACCCATTTAGCATGCTTAACTCGCGCTTAGGCCAAAGATCTTCAATAGTCAAGGTCGTGCTTCAAAACAGTCTTAGACATATACAAATGGGTTTCCAAACTTCGATTTCTTCACTTGAGAAGACATTAAAGTGGGCATAAATAAGAGGACGTAGACATTTTAATATGTAATATTCAGAGGTTGATTGATTTATGAAATGCCAGTTTTGAGAACTCCGAAGTCTGAACTAATTATTTCAACTTTTTTTTCATGACACGAAGTTTCTCTTTGCCAGTTTCATCCGATGGGGAACTTATCGGTAAATTCTTGA